AAGAGTCATAAATCCCAAAAGTATAATTTGACTTCACATTTCGAATTTTGAACTTTCGTGAACCGATGAATTGCGACTTATGATTAATTCCAGAACAATCAGATGATTCTTCCAAGTATGTGCACGATCCTGAAGAAATATCGGCATTCTTCCAGTCACAGTCGGTGGTATTCGTGCAATTTCTACAAGAGAATTACCTAAACACTATAAGAACTATAGAAGAAGTCACTGTAGCGTCCGATATCTTGAGCTTGGCCGATGTTCTAAATTCGGAATGGCGTGTAAGTTTTGTTAAAGCTCTTTTGATTACATAAAATATTTGTTCTTATATTCCATAATTCGACAGGATCGCAATTTGGGTAAAGTTGCATTATCATATTGCATCCGTGGCTTAATGCTGGCGAATGAGAAGCCTGTAACTGGCTGGAATCCAGTAAAAAAACCGCGAGACGATCATAGTAACATGTAAATATTAGACCAGGTTAATTATTTATCACTTTTGTTGCTGATTATATTTTTTATTTTAATGCATATACTTATTTGTAGACGACGGTGCCTGGTAACAGCAGAAACACAATGGTATGAATCGATCATTAAACCTTGTTCGAAGAAAACGAACGAAATATCGATAGTAAATGAAGATAAAGATACGGAAATAATGATTGAAGAAGATTAACATGTATATTAACTATATATATAAGTATTACTTTCACATGTTACCTTTTTATATGTTCTTATCTTTTTTTCCACCAATTATAGTTAATATAAAATATAAAGGATCAGAAATTTTATGTTTATGATATAAATATTATATTTATTTCTACTTAGATGTATTGTATTTCCAATAAGAGCAAATTTACAAATATTAAATATATATGCGTTTTCTCTTATTTATTATTGCAATAGGTATTCTTCACGTTTATGTTTTCCTGACTTTCAGAAAACCAGCTGTGTTAGAAAAGTATTTCGCATTTGCTTCATTCACCTTTTTCTCTGCAGCTTGTGGATTGACAATTTCAAGACCCTGCAGGGGGGTGAAAGCCACACTGGAAGCAGTGCCAGATACTTGCTTCTTAACAGTAGTACTCCCTCCCCATTGCTGTTGTTTCTGCAGATTCTTTTGCAGCGTCTTAGATATTCTAACTTTTGTCTTCTCGTCGATTTGTGGCAGCCTGATTCGACCCGCCCCAGCTTTGCCGATTGTTCCTCGCGAATAACCGAGATCCTCTTGGTAAGCGTCACTTTCGATGTCTGCGAAGTTCATCCTATTCGCATGCTTCCTAAATTCTGTAATCGCGTAGCGTTCTTTCATTTTACGAACGCGTTTACCGCCACGTTTTTTTCGACCAGGATCAATTGGTTTCGGTAGCGGCTTAACGAATTTTACGGGCGGCGGCTCTTGAAGCTTGTCCAATTTCTTCTCAATCTCCTCGCGCAGCATCTGACCGAAGTGGCCGTTTGTACTTTCGTGGCAGGCATCCACTCTAGCCGCCAGCGTGCATTTCGCAGCCACGAGCCTCGCCGCTTTTCTCCGTAGATCGGGAGGTGTTTCTTGCACGATATCGGAGTAATAAATGAATCCTGTATGAGGCAAGGTGGCAACTTGCGAAAATCCAGAGAGTGTTGTCTTTTGAGACCCTAGGACTAGAACATTACAAGCCGGAATCTTTGACAGTTTTGTTAATCCACCTGCGACACCCATAATTTTAGCGGCTGTCGATGCACCAACAATTATTGATAAGTTTGGTGCGATGAATGCCATTCTGCTTTCTACATATTCGAATATCTTTAATTTGTAGTTGTTTAATTCTACTGCCATGTCGCAAGCCTCACCAATAGCTTCTTTCTCTTCTTCTGTCAATAATTGGCCTTGAGTAGTTGATGCCGTCACAGAAACCACCATAATTGTGGCTTGAGTAAGAAACTGTTGGAGAATTTCATTATTTTTTGCCCTGTCCACATCATTTCCTAGTTCCTTAACAGTCATTATATATTCCATTTGTCCAACAACCAGGGATTCCAACTCTGGGAACCTTTTTGAATACTTATCTCTTGTAAATCTATGTATAGTAGCTATTTCATTGTCAATATCTACAGCCATATTATTAGCTTCAACTATCAACTGATATTCCGGATCAGATTCCACAGGTCCCACAATGTCAGCTGATTTTCTAGGTATTTTGCTGTGCTTTTCAATCTGTGATATGACCTTTTGCAGCTGTTCCGAATCTCGTAACTTGGCTAACTCTCGAACAGAGGATACCTTTATCTCTTCTTCTAGGACTTTAGAGACCGAAGCCGGAATGAATTTCGGCTCCGGCTCCTCCATGAAAGTATCCGCGTCGTCATTTTCCTCGAGGTCTGCGAGAAGTTCATCCGCCAAAGACATTTCCTTTTTTTGAGGTTATATAACCTGGGTTCTTGTTTCGTCTATTTATTGTTTCATATTATATAACTTTTCCAGTCTCTTTAATAATACAGTTAAAGATGATTTTAATATTCTTCCACTGGTTTTGTTTAATGAAGTCAAATATTCTCCGTGAGCGGAGAGAAATGAGAAAAGTGCGACTCGAAACGCACTTCTGTAGGAGTCAACCAACAACCAACAACCTGACCGTGGCGTGTCTCTAGATGCTGTGTCTGTATACGAACCCCAGCGACTCACGTGATCGGCCTTTCGCCAATCACAGGCCTTCGTATATGGGCGATACTGTAAAGCGCATACTCGAGCGTCACGTGACAGCAACTCACGAATCGGCGACAAGTAGCCGGTAACGTATGCACATGTCACATGAACGCGGTTTTCTACTATTGTGTTATCCCCTCTACACCACGATTTGGCGTGATTCGCGTTCCGAATCTGGCATCACTTCGATCTTCGATACCTATCGCATACGCGAGACCTTTGCGGTTTGCGGTTTCATGTTCGCGTCTGTCATGTCGTGGTCGTGGTCAATATTTCGGTCACGGTTCGTGGACAGGATCGATAGCTGCTCGCGAAGAATATTCATGTAAAATAGAAACATTATGAAAATGCACGACAATAATACAACTATTTCGCTAAGAAATCCAAGTCGAATTCGACATTATAAATATCAGAAATCAGAAATGCGTCAGTAAGTTTTCGCTCTACCTGCGGAAAATTCGCAGGGTATAACTCTGCAGAGGAGTTGTCAGACTGATCGGATCCTGTTGATGGAAAAAATCTTTCGGAAAGCATGAAATGCGAAGAAACAGCCTTAAGAATAACACGTAAGTCTGTCAATTTATATAATGAAATGGAGAATGCATTGCGATAAATACTGATTATACACTTGTCTCGTAGAATTAGTCCATTGACGCAAAAAATAAAGGCTCCTCAACATCTGCTGAGATTTAAAGATGAAGAGGATGGGTTTGATAACGAATGGAGCGGTCGCTTCCGGCTGCCTAGTTTATCGCGGCAGAAATCATGGAAGGATGATGATGATATCCTGTCTAATGGAAATAGTGCGGCAACATCTATTTCTTGGTCGCAGGAGATGGAAGATACAGCGACCCAGAAATTTGAAGAACAGTGGACAAATGTGGAAAGGACCTTCTACGAGGAAGAGGATGATCAACTGCTTCAGGGATCCATTTTGGACGAATGTATACAATGGAGAACACAGATACCATATATGAGAATAATTGGCAAAAATCCAACTTGTACCAATAACAACAGTACACAGCATGATATTGACTCCAATGATGAGAGGATGAAAAGATTCGATACTCTACAAAATGACAAAATATCCATGGAACACAATCTTTCAATAAAGGTAATGGAAAAAATACAAAATTTTCTCTAACATGCATGTAATATGTAAAATGTATGTTGTATTTTATATTATTATTGTATTTTTATAATATTTACAGGAAGGAGAGGATTCTATGCAATACAAATTAAATAAAGCGAAATTTGAAGATGTTCTTGATATGCTGATGGAATATGTAATCGCAGAGGTCATTCCTAATAAGGAGAATGATACAGATTTATGCGAAAGTCTAAGTGATGCTCTAAAAATAGCTCCTGCTCCTGTTCATGGCAACAGAAATTCCTCGAGAAACTCAAAAACAAATTGGGCAGAAGAAGCAATTTCTCCTAATTATATCGAGAATAAATCTTTAAGTATACGAAATCGATTGCTGGATACAGGAAGCTCTCTTCAGACAATAAAAAATGATATAAATTATCAAGAAGTTCAAAAGTGAGATTAGCAAAAGAAAGTATTAAATATAAAAGCGCTTTCTTTTATTTTATATATAATCTGATTTTTTTTAGAGAACAGCGAAAATCAATTTCTGCAAATAAACCAAGAGACTTTGATAATAAAAAAGATGATGATACATCGAGACCCAAGGAGAGATTGTGTACACCACATATAGGCAGAAATAAGCTTGGCACTATCTTCAATGAGAGGATTGTTGTGAGCCCTGTGCCCTTTGCAGTATCCACACGAGAAAGCTTCTCTACTTTAAATACTATTCCCATTAGATTTATCAATGAAGATTTCGAAATTTCCTCCTTTCAAGGTAGAAAATATCAAGTTATTTAAGTTTTAAAATATTATTATAAAAATTGCAAATATTTTAAGATCAGTTCGAAATGTTTCAGGTAGTTTCCATGGTTCTGCGACAAGATCAAGCGCTTTAAGAAATTCAAATATTCATTCCGCCTGGCAAGCTCCTGTCTGTCCTACTGTTTGGCCGAAAAATATCCGACTCGCGCCCATAGACACTTCGAGACTTCCTAGTAACAAAAATAGGTATATTGCTAATTTATAGATAAAAAATTAAAACATCTTTGGATAGAGTTTTAAGATAAAAGTTTAGTTTGGGGAAATTTAAGAATCAAAGTATATTGAATAATTTCATACATTTTAGGTTATTGGCACCGTCGCCCGCTATCTTACACTGCAACAGGAAACCACTGAGTCCGATTTCCAAGATACCGAAATCCGCTCACACGATTCGCGATCGTTTGGAGATTCAAGGAAAACACATCATTCCTTCGCAATCAAAAATCAGTTTGCTCTCAGCTGGCTGGGATCATAGTTCCAGAATGATCAAGAGCAAGAAAAAGAAACGGGCAACGGAAGGTTCTTGAAAAAAAAAGAAAAATGCTTAATGCAATAAAGTTGAAAGCGCTTTAAACACTTGCTTATAAGAAATATATTTTTCTAAAATGTGTCGTGTTATGTCTTATTCTGTGTCTATAAGGAAACCGAAAAGTACAAAACATGCTGCTTCGACGCGTTCGGTTTCGTAACAGGATAACGCTTGGAGCACAGCAGAAAACGCTTTAAAAACGAAGTATATATGTATACAAATATATTTATTGTCTATATTTATTGTCTATAATGTTATTGTATATAATTTACGGAAAGTAATCATTGCAATTATACACACATACATGCAATGATGTGCGATTTTTAAATATGGGTGTTCCATAAATGATAAATCATGACTATTTCTACCTCACCACGTGTCCGTGTTGTTCGAGTGTTATTCTACACGCTTATCGCGAGTGGATATATTTTTGTATATGTCGCACAATATTATGTATTGTAAATATATTGGTAGTGATATATATAAATATTTAATAGCGTTGTTGTGAGTGAGAGTATAACGTCGCGTTATCCTATCCCGTTGTCCTATGTCTAAAATTTGATTTTATCTAAAAAAAAATGTAAAATTTCAAACAATTTTATGGCATCATTTTATATACATTATTATATATTAAAAATATAAAGGCTATTAATTTTTCCATTTTGCTACATAACGTTAAAGTTAAATATACATCACATAAAAAAAAGTATAAAAATACTAAATAGAGTTGAACTTTTTCTGCTGCTATGTACGCGAACTATTTTTATGCATGTATGTGTGTCTTGTGTTTACATATATATATTTATATAAAGTAGAGATTAAAACAGCAAAAATGATATGGCAAAGGGGAAAATGCGTAAATCTTTATTAAATTGATATTTTTTATGTTAATAATCGTATAATAATAATAATATCGTCTATTCTCGAGGAACACGTGGCAAGGTTGACAAGAAATTCAAACGAAAGTGGCATTTGCGCATGTTCGATATTTTTGGCGCCGCGGTGACATTTCCTGCCCGCGACGCGCTTCACGCGCTTGCAGTTTCGCGTGAGCTTGCAATGGTGGAGGACGTTTTGGCGACCGGTGGAAATTTCGGTGAGTTAAAATCGAAATAAAAATCAAACCTGTGATAAAAGTAGCATCGAGCTCGCGACAAGCTATCCAATTTAAAACAATGAACATTGCGAAACTGCTAACGAGAAAGTTCATTCTTTATACAGAAAGAATGATGATTGAGCGTATATATATTTACTATAGGATAAAGAATATTGTTTCTTCAAATAGAAAATTTTATAAAGTAATTTGCCTTTATAGCCTCTTTTGAATATAAATATCGTATATTGCGTATTCTTTATATAGAATGATTATATAAAAATTGTAATAGGAAATTATACGAGAGATACTAATTTCTTTATAATATAAAGATTTTTGTTTCTGATGCACGTTCAAAGTTGTGCAAAGGTTAAAAGACATTGTTAAATAATTACAAGTAATATATATATATATATTTTTTTTTCATAGAGGATCTTTATTGAAAGGCGCGCGTATAAACGTGCAAATTTATCGCACATCTCATGATAACTCAAACCAAGGACCTCGCGAAGGACACCTTCGACGATATGTCTACCGACGAAAGGCCGAGCGACACGCAACATCTAACGACGATGACAAGAATTGTCGGGGTGTGCACTGCTGTTGGTGAGTCGATAATTTATAAAATATCATACGCATAAGTATAAATTATCATACCATCGCGAGAGAAAGATGTATTATTAAATTATGTGAAGAGAAAGGTTGGATAATATAAAAAAAAAATTTTAGACAGAAGGGAGAAAAAGAAACGGCAAGTACGAGGGAGGGGCGAGAGGGATTACGATATAATGTTATAAGAATATAAAAAAAAAGATTTTATTTTTTCTCATTTCTGTCGGGAATTTTGTCTCGAAGACCGCGGCGGGATAAAAACGATCTTTTCTGCTTTTACTTTGAACGAGAAGGGGATGACGCGCGAGAAACACTCCGCTTTTCATTACCGCATGAAAGGTAATGAAAACAGCTTACGCTTGTCTATCTACGAGACTCTTTACATCTGCTTAATATTAATGGATCATTATAATACAGAAGAAGACAGTAGCTTGATCCTTTGAACAACCTCCCTCGCGGTTCACTTAAAACCGTTGTTGTTTAAAAAGTTATCAGTATTGGACTTTTAAATAATTTCTTTTATGGTGAGTGTATATCTGCAAAAATTTCAATATGTATTTCATAGCAGTTTCTATTTCTCCAAAAGTATTTGAAACCTTTCGAGAGATTCGTCTGAAATGTCACACATAATGACAAAAAAGAAATATATAATCACATTTAAATAATATTAATAATTAAATGTATAATATTAAAAGAGAAATATATTATATAATATTTTATAAAAAATATTAACAAAGT